ACTTTTTGACTGCTTGACAATATGTAGTGTCGATGATAAGTAGTTAGTATACATAGGCACTAGTTACAGGACATGTCACCGAATCAAAGACCCCTGATGATCCTGGTGCTGGCAGCCAGGTGAAACCGGTAGGGTCAATCGCCATGTCGTGCTTCATGTTATATATTTTTTCAAGTCGTGTTCGGGACATGGTCTTGTGTTGTCTGCTACTGGTTTCTCTGTCCCTTCCCCATCCTCCTTTTTTCTCTATCCTTCTCCCCTGTCGTCACGTCATAGTTGATCAATTTTAGTTCGTCAGCCATTGCTTGACAATAACGTGGCCGAGGCATTGCGGCTGTGGCCCAGCCACACAACAAGATGCTCTCTCTCTTTGGTTTTTTTTTTTTTTTTTTTTTTTTTTTTCCTTGGGTGGGGCCGAGAATTTTTTTTTTTTTTTTTTTTTTTTTTTTTTTTTTTTTTTTTGGTGGGGGCCGGACTTTTTTTTTTTTTTTTTTTTTTTTTTTTAATGGGAACAAAGCTCCAATCTATTCGTGGGAAGCAGCACGTGCAGGGAACCGGGCCCAACATCCCATATAAAAAATTACATCGAATTTAGAAAATTTGAGATACCGGGGCCATTGCCCGGCTTTGGCTAAGAGAAAATTGGAGCTACTTAGGATATTACTACGACAAACTTCAGAATTGAACAAAATTTTGAAACCAACTTAGGAGGCCCCCATCAATCCTCTTTACCTCGCTCCGGCAAGACTTACGGCAACAGAGTCACCATCTCCGTTGCTGTTGTACCCTATTTCCAAAAAAAACTTCCCTCCTCCACTTCAGTCCCACGCCTGTTCCATAGGCAGGTAAAAGACAACTAATCCCCTCTCACACTCTTCCTACACCCCCTTATTCAACTGCATCCCGCGACAAGCCGACCTCCTCCACCCATAGTTCGCGAGATGAAGAAAAATGAAGGCAGACAACCCTCGACTTCCTCTTGCAACAAGCCGACTTTCTCCACCACATAGTTCGTAGAAAAAAAACGAAAGTGATCCACCATCTGACACTTGCCAACCCTACCCAAGCCTCAAATACTGATCAAATCCTTCGCCTGCCTACCCTAAACTAAACTGACTCATGAAAGGTAAACTTCATGCAATCCGAATTTAAAATCAAGTTAGAGTCACTATTGAGAATCAAGAGATTAGAATTCAAAATCTTATGTATAAGT